AAGAGATTTTTATCATAAATGGCTGCTGGATTTTGTCAAATGCTTTTTCTGCCTCTATTGATATGATCATATGATTTTATTTTTCATTTTGTTAATGTGATATATTATATTAATTGATTTGTGGATATTGAACCAAACTTGCATAGCAGAAATGAATCCCACTTGATCGTGGTGTATGATTTTTTTCATGTGATGCTGACTTCGGTTTGCTAGTATTTTGTTGAGGATTTTTGCATGTATGTTCATTAGGGACATCAGCCTGCAGTTTTCTTTTTTTGTAATATCTTTGTCTGCTTTTCAGATCAGAGTAATAGTGGCCTCATAAAATGTGCTTGGGAGCCTTCCCTCCTTCTGTATTTTTTGGAATAGTTTAAGAAGAATAGACTTTAATTCTTCTTGGAATGTTTTGTAAAATTCACCTGTGAAGCCATCTGGTACAGGACTTTTGTTTGTTGGAAGCTTCTTGATTACTGATTCAATTTCTTTGGTATTAATCAGTCTGTTCAAAGTTTCTGTTTCTTCTTGGTTCAGACTTGGTAGATTGTATGCTTCTAGAAATTTTATTCATTTTTTCCAGATTGTCGAATTTGTTGGCGTCTAGTTGCTCGTAGTATTTTCTTACAATTTTCTGTATTTCTGTGGTATCTGTTGTCATTTCTCCTCTTTCATTTCTGATTTTATTAATTTGGGTCGTCTCTTTCTTTTTCTTGGTGAGTCTGGCTAAGGGTTTGTCGATTTTGTTTATCTTTTCAAAAAACCAGCTCTTGGTTTCATTGATTTTTTTGTATTTTTTTTATCTCTATTTCATTTATTTCTGCTCTGTTCTTTTACTACCTTTGGGCTTGTTTTGCTGTTCTTTTTCCAGTTCCCTTAGGTATAAAGATAGTCTGTTGATTTGAGATTGTTCTTGTTTGTTTAGATAGGCCTGCATTGCTATGAATTTTCCTTGTAGGACCGCTTTCGCTGCATCCTATAGATTTTGGGTTGTTGTGTTTTCATTTTCGTTTGTCTTGAGATAACTTTTTATTTCTTCCTTGATCTCAGTTTTGACCCAGTCTCTATTTAGAATGTTATTCAGCCTCCATGTATTTGTGTGCTTTCCATATTTCTTCTAATAATTGATTTCTAGTTTCATAGCATTGTGGTCAGAGAAGACGATTGATATGATTTTGATCTTAAATTTATTGAAACTTGTTTTGTGGCCTAACATGTGGTCTATCTTGGAAAATGTTCCATGTGCACTTGAAAAGAATGTATATTCTGTTGCTTTGGGGTGAAATGTTCTAACAATATTGATTAAATCCAGCTGGTCTAAAGGGTCATTTAAGACCTCTATTTCCACGTTGCTTTTCTGTCTGGAGGA